TTTTACAAAATAAGTGCTATAGTAATTAAATTAGAAGATGTAATGAAATAAATTTGTAGTTGAAGAAGTAGAATATACTTAAAACTGCAATCTGTCATTGAATATTTCATCCCAAAAAATTGACACCAAATGGATACTATGCCTTTTGAAGACTAAATAGATCAAAAAGTTACTGTATGTAATAAAAAATACTATATTAAGGATTTATAAAGAATCAAAGATTAATGTAAAAAAAAACAATTTAATTAAATTATAAATTATTTTTATATGTTATATTTCATCTATAGATACATAACGTAGACTTTTTCTTATTGGTCAATATTACAATGATTAAGAAACTTTTACATACAATAATATTAACATTGCATTAAATTTATATATTTGACAAATAATAAAGAGAAGAATTTATGTTAAAATTATTAGTTTTAATAAATACGTATTTTGGTTTAATTAAATTTAATTCTAACCGTAAGAGTAAATAGGCAAACGGAAGAGCTTACTTCGAATTATCAAAATACGTAAAGATGGCTGAAGAAAGTGACAGGAGTCAATTGCCACCCGGTTGGGAATGCAGATATGATATTCGAAGTGGTCGTCCGTATGTAAATTTTTATAGAAACTCATTTAATTCTGTTAACTAAAGTTGAAAAAAACAAATGCTGTTGATTGAAATATTTATTTATTATAAATGGCTAATGTTACGCAATGATGATTTATTTTGTCGTTCAATCTCTTGTATAAAAACTAGTAAAAGGTATCGATAAACATAATTATCTTTTACCAAATGTTATTTTCCGTATATTTTTGAATACATGATATAATAATCAAAAATATTGTATATCACAATAAATAACAACATTGTAATTATCGGTTATTTCACACATTAATTTGAACAAATGGTTTTTAGATATTTTATAAATCATTTTAATCGTACAACAACATGGGAAGATCCAAGAGTAAGATATTGGCAGTATTCTCAGTATATTCAATCGCAAAATTCAATGGCACTGAGTTCTGCTACAACTATAACTTCCCAAGATATAACCATGCAGGTCAGTAAATAATTCCTGTTATGTGTTAATTTTGTTTAATTATTATATACTGAATACATCCAGTCTTATATGTAAAAAAATATTAGGATGTTTTAAAATTGCACTCATGCACGTATGAAAGTATTTATAATTGCACTTCCAATATATGTATTCTTGTCATATGCACATGCTGCATTTGGATAAAACATAATATGTACACCAAAATAATAGACTGGAGGAAATGGAGGTGGTGGACATTTAGGTTATGCAGGAGCTCACAGAGCTCCACAAATTTATCCAACACCGTCTCCGTATCATAATCCACAACTTGCATTTTTACCTCCTAGTTTACAGGTAGGTAACTTACAATTGTATATCATTTGATATTATGATACTGAATTTACAGCAACATCATATTTTGGTTTATCAGTTTCTTAGTAACTTTTTCCTTTACCAATATTTTTTATGGGAACCAAATTAATATAAACAAGATGATTACATAATATATTTACTAACTATTCAATGATTTATATTAAATGATTTGTACTAAAATTACTACGAATGTAGATTGTACAATACATTATATAAAAATAAGTTTTTCATAATTTTATTAATTAATTTTCATTATTTTTAAAAAATTCATTTAAAATGTTTTTACAATGAAATAGAAAAATTTTTGTTGTTTAATATAATCTCTTTGAACATTAATATGTTAGGTTTAATAATGTTTCAAAGTAATCATAACAAATCAATTCATCAAAATCCACAAAATATTGTTTGACTGACATTTTACTTTATTGCCTGATGAAAATCTCTGTCTACCAAAAAATTTTTTTAATTATGGGTATAGATGGAAATCAGTTGCAGCTAAATTTGGTGAGTGAGGTAGATGTGGCAAGAAGTTGTACTTCATTTTGTTCATTTTTACCATCAAAATCATATTTGTGTGCAAATGTTTACTGTGTTGGTGAAAGATAACTTTTTTATTCACCAAACCTAGTCTATTTGCATGAATATTTTTATCCAATTGATTCAGAAAATCAGCAAAAGACTCTTCTATAATTTTTCAATCTTTTAGAAGGTAATTTATTAAAAGCATTCTTTTAGCATCTAGAAAATCAATATCATTAATTTTACAACTGACTTTACTGTCATTACTCCTTTCTTTTTTTTATAGAGAAGAAAGAATTTCCCATTGTTTATAGTTTCCAATGTATAATAGTGGACCCAAGTTCCATTAGTACTTATAAAACAATACACATAGTCCATTTTGTTCTTTTTAAAATGGTGCAAATATCTCCATCTTGTAGAGAGCTTTTTCATATCTGATTCTTTGGTCAAAATGTAAAATGTCTGTTCATTTGGAATCAGAAGTTTAGAAATTTTAGGGATTTTTACCCAACGTTCCTTTAAAATTGTATTGTGGACTTTTCCAAGAAGTTCTGACATTGTTATAGTGTTTGGGTGCTCACTGTGTGGCTCTTTTTCTGGGCTTTCCCAACCATGTTCAAATTAAGCAGTTCATTTAAATATATTTAAATATAAAGGACTAAAGTTTTCCAAAATATTTTTCATATTGGTATGAATATCTATTGTTGACCAACTTTTTGTAACAAAACATTTAATTATAGCTCAATAGCATTTTCTTTAATCAATAAATATTCATATAATATGAAGATAATATAAAACATGATGATACTTCTGTTCAAACAGCTGTATATGAAATATTACACAATGGAATTAGTGACTCTGTGACAATTCTTTATATGATAAATAGAAATTTTTTGCATTTTCTTTTAAAAACTTATTAAATGATCCATGTATTACATACCTATTTTTCAAGTATTTATTTATTATTAAATATCAAACATGCAAAAGACTTAACAGTACCTAAAGAAAATGATTTGTATAGGACCTGAAAACTCCATTATCACTGAAATCAGTTAGCGCAATGACAAACAGGCTTGGGGACATGACATTAGCATCACCAACTCCAGTAAAGAATATGGAAACAAGTTTAACACAGAATTCAGATGCTGAGATGCAAGTTGCTAAAATCAATGCTATGTTTCCAACAGTTTCTGACACTCATATTAGACTTCTTTTAAAAAAGTGAGTCTTAGACATATATTTATAATGTGTATGTGTGTGTGGGTGCATGTGTACGTACACATATATGTACATACAGAGTGCTCCATACAACTGAAATAAGGTATGTTTTTAAAGTGGTTAGAAATAAAAAGAAAAAGTATTATAAGGTAATGGTATTAGACTCTGTATACTTCTATATCACTTTTATGCATTGGTATAACTGAAAAGGGCAATTGCACATTCTTTTTCAGTGAAACTCTATATAAATGCAATATATTTTTAAGTGAACTAGGTAATATAGCTTTTTACCTTTTGTAAAAAAATGTTAATATATTTGTTTTAAAACTGTTAATTTAAAATAAATTATTTCAATTAAAAATTTTCAATTTTAAATTTGTTTAATTATTTTTATGTATCAGCACCCTTATATGCATTGTTTTACATATGTTATTGAAAGTAAGAGCAAATTTAAAAGTGAAATAACTAACAAACTAATAACTTTAAATATCATAATACTTCTTTAGAGGATATAAAATTGCACTGAGTAGTTCATCTGAAAATATATAGAATTCCATTAAAAAAAGGTTTAGTTGTATTTTTCATATGCTCCAATGCATAAAGATGCATAAAAGTAATATAGGAGTATGTAGTATCTATTATTATTAATTTTGTTTATCTCCAATCATTTTAAATATATAGATTGTCCTTGTTGTATGGGAGGCTGTGTGTACATACATTGAAGTCTTTATTTATGTTACTATGTATTATTTTTAAAACAAATTTTAATTAATCTATTCCTTTACTTTTATTAATATAAATTGTTAAATGCAGAACATATTAACAAACACACAAAGCAATGCTTTCTTGTATATTTAGTTACATTTATGTTGATTAAACATTACTTTTTTTTCAATGAGTTTTGTTAACACTGTATCAATCATAGTGCTAAGGTGGTAGCTGATGTCTTTCAGATACCATAACAGAGCAGCATTGGTAGTCAGTGCTCTGCAAGTGGAAAAGAATCCCCTTTGTGCTCCAGGACCATGCACACCTGTGGGAGTGCATTCAAACTATGCAATACCAAGATGGCGATTACCACCTCATGCTATACATGCAGCTCTAACATTGAGTCCACCTCGTGGGGCCCGGCCAGCCCCTAACTCCCCAAAAATGAAACTTAGGTTCTTCCCATACTTATAATTTCAATTTCACCCAATATGGATGCTAGATGTTGATATTGTACTTTGTGATAGTTGCCAAAAAATATATCAGATATTAAGAGAGAACACTATGAGTGTTGATTTGTATTGAATATCTGATATATTTTATGTATATGATCATACAATGCTGTGTAGTAATAGCATGTATTAGTACACATTGCAGATTATTTATATAATTAAATATTTTTAATTTATAAGCAACTTCACAGTTTTTTCTTTATTTTATACAGTATACATGTAGAAATTACAAATTCTTTTATCTGCAATGTGTCAAAATTTGAAAAGTATAATTTCATAAATGATAATATTGCA